TTAAGTAGTGCATATTACCTCAACACATGTTCTCAAGCTGTTGTTTAAGCCTTTAAAGAACCTCATGCTGATTATGTTAAGGTTTATACTTAGAAAATAAAACTTGCATATTAAAAAAAAAGTCACATACATATTTAGGCACAGCTTACAGAGCTCATCATTAAAAGAAAGGAAAACTCAGGGGCGCCTGGGTGGCTCAGTCGGTTGAGCGTCCGACTTCAGCTCAGGTCACGATCTCACGGACCGTGAGTTCGAGCCCCGCGTCGGGCTCTGGGCTGATGGCTCAGAGCCTGGAGCCTGCTTCCAGTTCTGTGTCTCCCTCTCTCTCTGATCCTCCCCTGTTCATGCTCTGTCTGTCTCAAAAATAAATAAACGTTAAAAAAAAAAAAAAAAAAAAAAAAAATTAAAAAAAAAAAAGAAGGGAAAACTCAGACACTATGAGAATTTCTACATCAGGCAAGAAAATCCTAACTTCAAAAGGAAAGAGAAAAGTTTTTTTTAAGTGAAAAAACCTGATTGTTCATAAATGCAAGTAATAATGAGAGAAATGGCCGTAAAGTACCTGGCACAATAGTTTCCTTCCCTCCAACACTATTGACTGGCATCATAGCCTGTGATATTCTTTTACTTCACCAACTCACTTTGATAAAAGCATTCTGCCAATCTGATCTTAAATGTTGTTCCATTTTGCCAAAAGGCCTTTAAAAAAAAAGGCTAATGAAACAGGCCCACCAAACGGTAATAATAGCCCAGGGTTATGGCAGAATGTGCTGGCAAGTCATTCTGTCTCAATATAGGTAAGTTTCCCACAATTACTACTTAGAATACACATGTAATAAAAACAAATCTGAGGGGCGCCTGGGTGGCGCAGTCGGTTAAGCGTCCGACTTCAGCCGGGTCAGGATCTCATGGTCCGTGAGTTCGAGCCCCGCGTCAGGCTCTGGGCTGATGGCTCGGAGCCTGGAGCCTGTTTCCGATTCTGTGTCTCCCTCTCTCTCTGCCCCTCCCCCGTTCATGCTCTGTCTCTCTCTGTCCCAAAAATAAATAAACGTTTAAAAAAAAAACCAAAAACAAATCTGAAAAAAAAATAGACTTTAGCATTACCGTTCCTGTGGAAAAAAAGGACTCTTGCAATTCTAGGAGAAATGTCAACATTATTTGTACTCCTCTCCTTATTATCAAGTTTATCATCTCTAAAATTCAAGCAAAATCATGGCTTTTAATTCTCTGACCTCAGAATGTGCTACTTTGTTGCAATCACTTTGTTTGGTTTGGTCTAGTTTTTAAGGCTGGAACTCTTCCCGGGGAGAGGTAGAAATATAGACTGAGCATGGGAACTGGAATAACAAAGACCTGATTTCAAAATCGGAGTTTACCTGGTAACTAAGTTTCAGTTTCTCATCTCTCAGAAAGAATACTACCTCCCCCATGGGACTGTCCTGAGGAGTAACTACAGGAAATAATATATGGTCCAGGGCCTATAATGTAAATGCTCAGTAAATGTTTCTATCACCATCAGTGGTTCCCACCTGACAGATCAAACACCTTTTTATTCCTCCAATCAGTAACACTGGCTGATGACGGCAGTGATTCTCCACCTAAAGATAAGCCCCTCCGCTCTTCAATTACCCTGCACTCTGCCTCACCTGTTACCCGGTGTTTCCCAGCAGGATAGAAGCGCTCTAAGATCTACTGTTTTACCCGAGTACAAATCTGAAGAACTTCTCGTCCTCATAACCATCAACACAAAAATTACAGACACCGCCAGGCAAAGCAGCATGAAAAACACAACAGTCTTTGCCCTGGCATAGTTCAGACCAACAGATGAGATCAACACGAAAACTAGTAAATTACAATACACTATGATGACTGCAGAAGAGGTAATCTGTGTGCGGCCCACAGCCACAACACAGCAACTACCCTGAGTTTCTCCGACGCTGTTCACTGTATCATGTGTCTGGCCCAACAGAATTGTGTTGTGACGAGTGCCAATTCCAAGCTGGTTCACTGGTTTAGGTCCCCAGGGTATGGAACAGGTTTTGCAGTTCAATGTTAACTCTAGTTTGCTAAAGGACCTGGATAAAACTGCTCAATCAGATATGATTCCTTATGATAAGGCCTAGCATAAGACACAGCCCAGACTAAGCCTTCAATAAACACTTGCTGACTTGCACAGCACAGCCAGATTTTTAGATCTTAGAGTTTTGCCAAAAACTAACCCAGAGTTTGATTTTCCCAACTACACAAGACAGGCAAGCACCTTGATTCTCCTTTAAGCTTTTACCCAATGGACTATCATTAGGAAAGCCAACATAAGATCTATAATAGAGATTTTTTTTTTTTTTATTTAAATTTTTTTTTTTTCAACGTTTATTTATTTTTGGGACAGAGAGAGACAGAGCATGAACGGGGGAGGGGCAGAGAGAGAGAGGGAGACACAGAATCGGAAACAGGCTCCAGGCTCTGAGCCATCAGCCCAGAGCCCGACACGGGGCTCGAACTCACGGACCGCGAGATCATGACCTGGCTGAAGTCGGACGCTTAACCGACTGCGCCACCCAGGCGCCCCATATAATAGAGATTTTTAAAACCAACGTTTATGATTTCTAAACAGTGTTTAGCCAAATAAAGCAAAGATTACAGTCCTTTCACTTTTGCCCCCTACACAGATACCATCCAAACCAAACACCCCCTACTTTGGTCTCCCCACATGTACAGCTGCCTACATCTCAAACTCAACAGGTGTATTACCAAATTTAATTATCTTGTCCCCAAACCAGATACTGTCTCTATTCCTTTTCCTCTATTACTTCATTTTCCCACAGACCTAAGATTTCTAATTCAGTCACCAAACTCTGTATCTCTCAGTCCCATACGTTCTTGACCATTGCTCACATCAGGGCTGTGAGAGTAGCTGTCCAGTTAGTCTCAACCCTTACCCACTCCCATCTCTTACTGCCAACTCAATCTTCCCAAACACCACTCCATACATACACACTCAAAAACCCTGCAGCCTACTGAACTAAATCTTAGCATTGGCATTCAAAGCCCTTCTCTTTGTGACAATGTCTTTTTTCTCCAATTTTATTTCAAAATTTATTTATTTATTTATTCATTTATTTATTTATTTGAGAGAAAGAACGAGCACGGGAGGAGTAGAAAGAGAGGAGGGCAGAGGATCCGAGGCAGGCTCTACGCCGACAGCAGAGAGCCCGATACGGGGCTCGAACCCATGAACCACGAGATCATGACCTGAGCCAAAGTCAGACGCTCAACCAACTGAGCCACCCAGGCTCCCCACTCCTATTTTATTTTAAAACCAAAGAATTAAGGACTCACGCAATCAGTAAATTTCCTCTGAAGCTTTATTATACGCCGATTTCTAGGGAATAGGATAGTGAGATGAGTAAAATCTGATTCCCACCCACAAGACTCCAAGCAAATAGCAAATACACTGTCTTCAAGACAAAAAATGCGCCAAGTGCACAAGAAGCTCGCACGTGTCTGACTTCTTAGTGTCCCTCACTTACACGTAGTATGTGCTTTTGAAGCAGCACTGATATATACGACAGTTCCAATAAACCAGAGACGTATCATCAACATGCTCGATAAATCTCGTGAAGAAGAAGATAAATCCCACCTCTTCATTTCTAGTATGATAAAGAACCATGGCACATGGCTGCCTTTTTTGAAGGGTCAGGCAAAGCACAATGAGAATTCAGATTTGCAAGTGTGCTTGTGCCTGATTTACTTCTAAGGCAGAACAGAAGCAGCAGGGACCTAGCGAAAGGCTGAGAGTTCCTTCTGCTAGTCAGTACTCAAGACACTGGCAATATAAAATGAACCTCTGCAAATTCAACCTATATCCTATTTCAAAGAATAGCCTGATTAAAACATTCTAAGCCTTTCGTCACTATCAGGAAGTTAGGAAACCTAGATCAAGCTGAACTCTCTTCTCAGCAAAATAACGCTGTGATTCCAGCTGTGGTTTTGGATTACTAAAAGTAAGCATGTTAAAATTCACCAAATGAAGCCAAGCACTTACAACAAGAGGACAAAGATGGCTGAAACCTAAAAGCCACAACCACTCCCCTGCCACAAAACATTAAATATACCAGTTCTATTTCAAATAAATTTCACTTGAGCAGCTAATTTGTTATCAACTTCCTACTTTCAACTGTAACATCTTAAAAACAAAAGTCACCCACGCCCAACAGAAAAGGCTTTGAAAATATGGACACATCCTTTAACAGGCCAAATATGCCTGGGTCATTCAGTCGGTTAAACGCCTGTCTCCTGATTTCTGCTCAGGTCATAATCTCACAGTTCGTGGGTTCGAGACCCAGCTCTGAGCTGACAGTGCGAAGGCTACTTGGGATTCTCTCTCCCCCCTTCTCTCTCTCTCCCTGGCTTGTGCGCTCTCTCTGTCTCTCTCAAAAGAAATAAATGAACTTAAAAAGAAAAAAGAATATATGTCAAAGGAGAAAAAATATTATTTGTTTAAAAAGTGTACCTGAGGGGCACCTAGGTGGCTCAGTCATTGTTAAGCGTCTGACTTAGGCTCAGGCTCACGGTCCGTGCGTTCAAGCCCCGTACAAGACTCTGTGCTGCCAGCTTAGAGCCTGGAGCCCGCTTCGGGTTCTGTGTCTCCCTCTCTCTCTGCCCCTCCCCCACTCGTGCACGCGTGCGCGCGCTCTCTCTCTCAAAAATAAACATGAAAAAAAGAACTGAAAAAAAAGCGTACTCGCAAATGTAACGTGTACATCAAAACAATCTGAGGTCTTTTCTTAAATGAACTGGTTGTTACCTCTTCGGCACCAGAATGATAAATGATCCAGTGACAACATCACAACATTCATCCCTTAAAACAAGTGACTGTTAAGTTGGGACCCAATGAAATTAGCAGTTAGGCTTTTAAAGACATTCACTGAAAGCAGATATCCTGAGTGGACAGAGATTATAAAAGAGTTTCAAAGCTGAAATAGTGAACTTTTTTTTACCTGATGTTCTGCATGAATGTTATCCCCAGTAGGCCATCGATGTTTGCTATTATTATAGCCGCCTCCACCACTTCCTCCTCCCCCAAGCTGCTCACCATGCTGCCTCTGAAAGAAGTAGTCCACCATAGCGTCGTCTTGGGAACGGCCTGCAACTCCTATGGATCCTGGGACAGGGCTGGAGTGTGTCCCAGCTGCAAGAGCCTGATTTGCAGCTGGTTGTGGCTGCGCCTGCGACCCTGTTCCAGATGTCAAAACAACAGGCATGTTGGGATTAGCTGGTTCTTGAGGGTGATGTTTCAGGTGGGGGCTGAAAGAGTCCTGCCAAAGCACTGCTTTTCTCTTCAAGACACATGCAACGCTCATTCCACCAACACCTAAGGACAAAGAGGTTACAAGCGTTTAAAATTTGCATTTTTAAAACATAATTTAATATATTTGCTTTGATAAAACAAAAATGGGAGCCCCATGTCTTTTGTGAAACCACATCTACAACCAATTTCTACCAAGCAGCTAAATGTTTTAGAACATACACACACAATTTTGCCAAACTGAAACCTCTGTTTATAAGTTGCTGGATATGTGCACATGTGGAAATAAATGTAAGTTGGTTGGTGGCAGGCAATCTGACAAGGTATTGAGATCAGAGTTCAATACGGCAACTTCAGGGAAGCCCTACGTTGCTACCAAACATAACGATAAATAGAATTGGACTCCAATCAATGGCTCCTCTACCCACCTTATTTACACCGTAAGCCAACTGGGACAGATACTTCTTCAATGAACAAAAGCTCTACAAAATATCATTTTACAAATGGAGCAGACAAAAGCCAATAAACCAAACAAAAATCCAAACCTAGTATACAATTAGCAATGACTCAGACTGCCTAAAATTTGAAAAGACCCTTGGGGCGCCTGGGTGGCGCAGTCGGTTAAGCGTCCGACTTCAGCCAGGTCACGATCTCGCGGTCTGTGAGTTCGAGCCCCGCGTCGGGCTCTGGGCTGATGGCTCAGAGCCTGGAGCCTGTTTCTGATTCTGTGTCTCCCTCTCTCTCTGCCCCTCCCCCGTTCATGCTCTGTCTCTCTCTGTCCCAAAAATAAATAAACGTTGAAAAAAAAAAAAAAATTTAAAATTTGAAAAGACCCTTTAAAATGTTTAATGTATTCATAGGATGCTCCTTGAAGAAACAGTAAGAACCCCCTGACCAAGCACAGCAACAGGATGTTCTTAGCCTGAACCATTTTAGCTGCTGTTGAATGGTGCGGGGGGGGGGATCAAAATTTTTTACCAATAATTTACAGTTGTAATCACATCATTATTCCCTTAAAAACAGGATGAGACCAAACCAAATTCAAACACTTTACTAGTATAGAACATCTCACTGTAAAAAAACAGATACCTCAATAATAACTGAATGGAAAACACAATGCAGAGAGTATCATATCAGCCCTATTTTATAAACGAAAACACTAAGGGACAGAAAAGTTATGGGATGTGCCCAAGGCCACTCAGCTAGTGAGTTGCAGAGGAGGGATTCAAACCTAAATCTGTTTTGGGGGCACCTGGCTGGCTCAGTCTTGATCTCGGGGTTGTGGGTTCGAGCAGTGGATGTGGAGATAATTTAAAAAATAAAATCTATAGGGGCTCCTGGGTGGCTCAGTCGGTTGAGCATCCAACTTCAGCCCAGGTCATGATCTCGCACTTAGTGGGTTTGAGCCCCACATCCGGCTCTGAGCGGAGAGCTTCGGAGCCTGGACCCTGCTTCAGATTCTGTGTCTCCCTCTCTCTCTGTCCTTCCCCCACCCTGTCTCTCTGTCTCCCAAAAATAAACATTAAAAAAATTTTTTTAATAAAATAAAATCTATAAATAAATAAATAAATAATTGTTTTGTGCTCAAGCTTACTTTTGTCAGCCCCTTACAGAAACTATATCTCTCACTTGCAACAACTCCTCCCTGGAAGAAACAAAGAATCTCCGAAATGTTACTATGAAACATTACTATTTAGGTTCTTAAAACCAAAAGCTACATCTGTACACAAGAGAGAACATCTGTCAAACTGTGGGTGCTTAAAAAATTGCCACAAAGTAATCAGTAACCTATTAGACTACCCCTGCCTATAGTCACTGGAGTCTAATTTCAAGACTATCAACTTAATAGTCCCACTGCTGCACATGCCTTCTCTCTACCAAGCTCAACTATAACGTCTCAAAAACAGGTATACAAGATTTATGAAAAATCTATTAAGTTATTTCCTTATGGAATTAAACCTCCTGATAAAGCATGTGCTTCTCACAATTCATGTTTCGAAGCCAGAGACATAACGGAATTTGTAATTTGTTCAAAGCTTAACTTGGAAATGCCTAGTTTCAGTTAACAATTCTAATCCATCAGAACTTTACCAGGGTAGTGGGGAGCCTAGCTTTCTAGACTACAGTTTGTGCTTTCTTGAATAGAATCGTGTTCATGCTTAAGTACCAAAACCAGAAAATCATAGCTGTGTTTACCATAGGCTATTGCAAAGTGACAACCAGGCTAATACCTTCCCATTTGATTTTCAAATGAATTAACTGCACTTTTTTTATAGACGTATTACTGACACAGAGCCCTGTATTAGTTTCCAGGTGTACAACATAATAATTGGATATTTACATATATTTCAAAATGATCACCACAATAGTTTCTGGTTACCATTCATCAACCAAGTCACTGCCCTGTTAGTTTTCTTCTACAAGGGACTATCAATCTAATAGTCTATTCTAGGGTAAGCCAGGAGTCCCAAAACTCAAGTTTTACCACTAAATTAGCAACCTCTCGGAGCCTGTTTCCTCACCTAGAAATTGGAAGAAATCCTTTCTCTAAGACTCACAAATGTGCTTTGTTTGCTTGTTTGTTGTTTTTTTAATCAGAATAAAATTATAGAAACGTTTTTGGTAAATTTAAAGTCACCATGCTGAGACCCCAGGAATTCGTTACCACCAGTGAAGGCAATGAAGCTCCAGTCTCTAAGAGGATTCCTAAAATAGCAAACGCAATCTTTAACTGAAATAAAAGATTTGCCACAATACATCTCTAACAAGGAATTTCCATATGAAAAAGGGTTACCTCTGAAACACAACTAAGTTCTAACAAGGGGTTGGGGAGGGGGAGGAGTTCCTCCAAAACAGTTCAAACAAAACAATTGGCTTTTGTAAAGCTATCTGTATGCCCTAAGACTTCCTGCTTTACCTAATGAGGCAAGGCAGTTTCTCAAACAAGAGAAAACCTGGCAGAAGGGACAGTTTGAAAGTGAGCAAATACCTAAGCAATTAACATGTGTCTTGGGTAGTTGTGTAATATCTTGGCAACTACAGCACAAAAATTAAGAAATCAGTCACTTAAATATTATAAAACATTTAAACTGCTGATGCCTTTTAGAGTTATAGCACATTATAAAAATACTGTAAGCAACTAGAAGTGCTGATTCTATACTCTTCCAAAGTTTTCAAACTGTTCACACCGAAGTGTCTTTTTTTAATATCCCTAATAGATTTTATTTCAAGCAAAGGAATACGGTTTGATCTCTCAAAAGCTCACCTTTTCTTAAAAAAAAAAAAAAAA